CTCTGACAAATCAACATCGTCACAAGCTTTCCATTCAAATTTCCATACAAGATTGGCCACATAGTATTCCAAATGAAGCAGTGCCAATGCATAACCTGGACACATTCTTCTCCCTGCGCCAAAAGGCATCATTTTTATCTCTCTGCTTCCTGTAATATCAAATGTTTCACCATTATTATCATTATTTTTCTCAGTGCTCAAGAATCTCTCAGGCCTGAACTCCATTGGATTCTCCCACACCTTTGGGTCCCACCCCATCTCTGCCACCATAAATTCAAAGACCCATTCTTGGGTACCAAGTAATTGTTGAACACCATGTCCTTTGACACAGCATGTGGCAACACAAAATGTGCAGGTGGGTGACGTCTGAGTCCCTCCAAGATCACAGCTTTGAGATATGGCATTTTGCTCAGATCTTCTTCTCTCGCTTCCTTGTCCTCTCTCTCACCCATTACATCTCTTATTTCATCCACAAGCCTCTGTTGAATTTGTGGGTACTTCACCAAACATGCCAGAGTCCATTGTAATGCAGTAGCAGTAGTATCTGTTCCTGCGTTTAGAAACTCCGAACATATTGAAACCATTTCACCTTCATTGAGTTTTCGTTTCTCCCCAGGCCATTCCAAATCCAACAGAGTATCCACATATGACACTATGTGTTCTTCTGTCGCATTATTATCATCGTCATTATCATTATTGTCATCTTGTTCTTGGTTTGATCTCTCTTCCTTTAGTTTCTTTCTTGCTCTTATCAATGGAATCAACACGTCTTTCTGTTCCTGCTTAATCTGCAAGAACTTCTCCCACTTCTTGCGGAGCAGTACTCGAGTAATTGCTGGCCAGAAATTTAGTGTTCTGAATCTTCTTAGACTCAAAAGTATATTCCTCTGAACGCATTCAATATCTTTGATTTGCTTGTCGTCTAACTTGTCACAAAGCATAAGAACACCAGCAAGCAGAACATAGCATATTGGATATGGTCTTTCACTCCAATGGGATTGCTGGATTTTGAATCAACTATAAGTCGAGTCACTAGCAAATCTAAAACCCATTTACGTATGCTCGAGAACGATCTGATTCTCGCCGGGTGAAGCATCTCGGAGGCGAGGTTGCGACGGAGGAGACGCCATTTGGGGCCGTAGGAGGCGGAGATAATGTTGTGTTGGTCGCTGTTGAGGATCTTCTCGGTGGCGAGGGCCTTGGGACGATCGGAGAAGACGAGGCCGTTTTGGATAAGTGCCTGGTGGGCCATAGATCGATCGGCGATGAATATGGCAGGACGAGAACCGATTGGGAGAGTGACGATGGGTCCATATTTGGCATGAAGCTTTCGAAGAATGGGTTCGAGTTCGCTGAGTGATCTGCTCAGCCATATGAGACTGCCGATGATGGGAACCCGGAGAGGACCAGGAGGGAGAGGAGAGAAGAAGAAGAAGAAGAAGAGGGAGAGAGAAGATTGATGAGAGCTCTGATGGAAAAACAGAGACAGATTGTGACAAAGACGATCAACCACAACCCCATGATCACGGTTGGGAGAGTATGAGCCAGTAAAAGGCTTTGGCTTTTTAGCCCTCAATTAGAGAAATTTTAGACCAAGATTTGTACCGCGTTTGTGAAAGATAAATATAAAAAGTCTAATATGTGGTAGTCGTGAGTTGCAGCAGTGACAAAACTTCAACGAAGACAATTTCTTGAGCTGCTTACTTAACAAAATGCATAAATGGACGCATAATTTCATTCCACATATAATTAAATTTTAGTAAATCGTGTGCCCGAGTTTTGAAAATTCTTGGGAAAAACTACTCAGATGTTATTCGTGTTAATAAATATACTCACATGCAATCTCTTGTGTGAGAGAGATTATATATTCCTGTATGTATGTATGTATTTATTTATTTATTTGCCATAATTGCATATAAAATATCTATTATAAATTATATCTATCAATTTATTAAGATTAATGCATAAAAAATTTAAATAAAAAAATAATTATAAATGAAATTTTTAAAACTAACCTACAAATAAAAAAATTAAAAGTAATCTAACAATAATTAATATATTTTTTTAAATAATTTTCTCTCATAATATTGTACAGAAAAGTAGACGGTGAGAGAAAAAGCTAATACAGAGTGTGAGAGAGAGCACGCCAGCAGAATGAAGGCGGAGTAAAGTGAATGAATATTTTTTAAATTTATTTTTTAAATGAAAAGTACTCAACTGTCAGTGATTTATAATGCGGACCGAGTATATCTTTTAAAATCATTTTATAATACGGACAGGAGGAGCTGAATATTAAGGCTTCAAATGAAGGTGCTAATTAATGTAAGCACACAGATTTGGCATCCAATTCAGAAACTGAAGTTGAAGTAACAAAATATTACAATACTGGAGTAGCGGTACATGGGCCACAAATTGGCGTCTCTAACACAAAGGCTCAACTAGATGATTGCTCTAAGACCTAGGAGATACACAGACTTCTAATGGATTTTCCATCACCACAGTGAATTCTTCTTTCTCTGTCAAATCAACTTCACCTCCATTTGGAGTTGTCCATTCAAAATTCCAGATCAAATTGGCCACAAAATATTCCAAGAGAAGCATAGCTAGATTAAACCGGACACATTCTTCTTCCTGCTCCAAATGGCATCATCTTTATCTCTTTCTTCCCTGTAATATCAAATGCTTCTCCCTCACTGTTGAAGAATCTCTCTGGCCTGAACTCCATAGGACTTTCCCACACATTAGGGTCCCAACCCATCTCTGCCACCATGAAGTTGACAGTCCCATTCTTTGGAACCAGATAATTGTTGAAAACTACATCTTCTGATACTGCGTGTGGCAACACAAAATGTGCAGGTGGGTGACGCCTTAAGCCCTCCAAGATCACAGCTTTGAGATATGGCAGTTTTTCAAATCTTCCTCTTTCACTTCCTTTTCCTCTCTATCTCTCATGACTTGTTTGATTTCTTCCACAAGTTTCTGTTGCACATGTGAGTATTTCACCAAATTCGCCATGATCCATTGCAGTGCCGTGGAGGTTGTATCAGTGCCTGCATTTATAACTCAGAACATAGAGACACTATCTCACCTTCATCAAGCTTTCGCTTCTCCTCAGGCCACTGTAAATCCAACAAGGTATCCACATATGGCACTATAACTTCATCAGCTGGTGTATTAATGTTCTCCTCCTTCTTCGCTCTCTTTCTCGCTCTGATCAATGGAACCAACACATCTTCCTGTTCCTTCCGAATTTGCAGCAGTTCCTCCCACGCTTATGGAGCACTATCTTGGTGAGTCTTGGCCAGAAGTTAAGCACAGTGAATCTGTCAAAATTCAGAAGATAACGCCTCTGAACATACTCTATATCCTTTATCTGCTTGTCATCGAGTTTCTCACCAAAACACATGAAGACCAGCAAGCAAAACGGCATATTGGAGATGATCAATGACCTTGATTGACTTTCCTGATTCGGAGTCAGACTGGAGGATGTTGAGAAGCGTGTGCAAGACCCACTTCCGGGTACCGGAAAAGGATTGGATCCGAGCGTGGTGGAGCATCTCGGAGGCGAGATTGCGGCGGAGGAGGCGCCATGTGGGGCCGTAGAAAGCGGAGGTGACGCTGTGTTGATTACTGTTGGTGACCTTACTGGTGGCGAGAGACTTGGGGCGGTCGGAGAAGACGGCGCCGCTCTGGATCAAGGCTTTGTGGGCGAGGGATCGATCAGATATAAATACAGAAGGACAAGAACCTATGGGCAGAGTAACGATGGGGCCATATTTGGCATGAAGGCTTCGGAGAATCGGTTGAAGCTCAGTGAAGGATCGGCGGAGCCAGAAAACAGAGCCGATGATGGGACACGAAGAGGACCAGGAGGAGAAGATGGCGGAAGTCTTGGAATGGGAGGAAAAGAGAAGAGTGATCAAGAGGCAGAGACAGACAGAGACGAGGATGATGAACATGAACCAGGCCTCCATTATTGACGATCGGGAAGCTCCAGTGAGACTTGATATCTTGGAAGATTTTGTTTTGTTTGTTAGACATTTATATCAGTCCGTTGACGATGAGTGTGTAATTTCTTTATGTACGGGTATATAATTTAATTAAAAAATACATTTTTTGAAAAAAAAATAATAAAGAATATATTTGAAATTATACACCGATAAACAAGTGTGAATTATTGTGGCATGTCCAGGTTAAAAAGAAAAAAGAAATTGGCATGGTGGGAGCGTGATAGGATTAAAATTTGAGAGAGAAATGAAAGCGTCAGAGGATTGAGTTTGCTTCTAACACAGGGCAGTGGGATGATGACCGAACATGACTATTGTTTTGTCTCCTTCCTGGAATAGGGGCAACCCAGGGCTGCGC